ACATCAATTGTGTAAAGCGCATTTGTACATCATTCTCAAAACATTTTCTCTCCACTTAAACCCCCCACATTAGGTCATTTTTCCCCTCCCTCCCCACTCCCCCCTCCCTCATGAGCCCTTGATAGTTTATAAATTGGTATTTTGTCATATCATTATCTCAAGTTTTATGTAATCTTTTAAAAGGGATCATCTTTGTTCATAACCTACCTGGAAGAAAATTTTCAAATCCATACTGCTCACCTTTCTATCAATCCTTGTCCCACTCGAAACCCCATGTTTTCCAGCTTAGTAATACATCGTCCATTTTCCTATTTAAAAGAAATCACATTAACAGTTGTTAGTACTTTTACACAGCGTCCTGGTGGCGCAACGGTTACAAGTTGGGCTGCTAACTGCAAGGTGAGCACAGCAGTTACAGACCACCAGCTGCTCTGTGAGGGAGAAATGAGCTATCGACGCCTATGAAGTTACAGTCCGGGAACTCGGAGAGGCAGTTCTACCTGCCCTAACGGGTTGCTATGAGCGAACATCAAACAAAGGCAGTGAGCTTGGTTTTATTTTTATTACTTTCATAATGCTAGAAATTCAGTATTTTTTTATGTTTGCTAAAATATTTCTGTAAATCTTTACAGTTTAAGAAAAAGTGAATTGTAAGGTATCTTGAATTTTCTTAGTACTGGTCGCTTCCACAAGGCAGTAAGATGGAACTGTATTACTTCTTTCAGAAAACAAACCAAAAAAAGATAATCAAGAAGCAGCCCTCATTTAGAAAGAAACAGAGTATGATGATTCTGGAATCATGTGCCCTGGGGAAATGTAGGTATAGATAACGGTTTCCTGTGCTCATTGCAAAACCTGTTTTGTCACATAATTTGATGACCACTGGATTTTTTTAAGCAGTTTGGAGGTAGCACACTCCATTGTTTCCTTCACTCTCATATTAGGAGAATTTCTGCAATCAACCTGGTTCTTGTCTTTGACTGAAACCGTGATCGGCAATCCTAAACCTCTGTTTCCAGCACCACCATAGTTATCCACCTCATCAGCCCAACTAAATTACTATCATTTTCTTCTCTTCCCCCACCCACCCACCACACTGCAGCTCTAGAGTCTACTTTTTAAAAATCATCTTCTCCTCTCCATCCTTACTGCTAAACATAAACATAAACCCACAACCACCGAGTTTATTCTGACTCACAGAGACCCTGCATTATTTACAGGTGCACACCATATCATCTTTCTCCCATAAAACGGTTGACCTTTCGGTCAAGTCTAACACCAGACAGTACCACCAGGGCTTCTTATTGCTAAAGTGAAAAACTCACTCACTGCCTTAAGTCAATCTGACTCAGAGAAGCAGCAGTTCCACTCCGTCCTATAGGGGTCACTATGAGACTGCAAAAGATTGCCTTTATCAATTCTTTCCTGGATGAGTGTTCTATCTGGTTCTGTTGTCCCCAACCCCCTCAGCTTTTTTAACTTCTCATCTACAGTAGAACCTGAGTAAGCTAGAATCGGTATGAGGCAAAAGCATGTTGCAGGAGAAAAACTAGTATTTTGCACTAAAAGTAGTGATTTTAAAAATGTTAAGAATACACCCTATTCAAAGGAGGAACACTTGTGAGACCTGGGAAAACGTAAGGTAGTCCTACCACATTCAGCTCTCGCAGTTTTCACTGTCTTTCTCTGGTAGTAGATTTCTGAAAAACAAGTCATGTTATCTCTCTACTGGATCTTGCAATCCCCCATCCTCCTCCTCTAGAATATACTCCTAATTCCTTAGCACAGGATTATGTATCTTTCCTTGAATGACCTCTACTAGTTAACAAGATTGACTAACAGTGACCTTGTCACAGATACCCTTCCCTTCTGACATACACAAAAAGCAAATTTTCTGCCATCAAGTCAATGCCAATACACAGCAGCCCTGTAAGACAGGGTAGAAGTGCCCCTGTGAGTTTCTGAGACTAGAACTGTCTGCAAGAGTAGAAAGCCCCATCCTTCTCCCAAGGAGGGGCTGGTGATTTCAAATACCCACCTGGCAGAAAGCAGCCCAACCTGTCACTGTGACACCATCAGGACCCTTCCTTTCGAACACTCCGATATTTCTGCAGCAACTCTAGAGCACCATCTTTCCTTTGCTCAACACTTTTGCACATGCTGTTCCCCAAACTGCACAGCTATTATAATTCAAAGATGAGGCTTTCTACTCCTGTAAAGATCTCAAACCCAGAAAGGCAGCTCTACCCTATCCTATCAGGTTATGCCACAAGTTAGCATCGACTAAATGGCAGTGAGTCGTTTTTGTTTTTAATCACATCCTCCTAGAACCTTTCCTTGGTACTCCCTTCAGGCCACATACTATCAAAATTTCCCATACCTGTATATATTGTACTTATCACTATCCTTGGTTTTTATTTTATTTTTTCTATTATTACCTACACACATTCATTCCTAACAAGCACAGGTGGAATCAAGTTAAACTGATGATCTCTTCAGTAGTTAGCCTCTGGCCTTATTCTATGATACTGAACTTCTCCAATCTCTTTCCACAAGTGTCAATTTTATTCTTATTAATTCCACCTGATGCAGGACACATTGTGGGATCCAGCCCACATCCAGAAGGGTCCTAAGGGATGGTTGTGTAATTGAAGGGAAGAAATTAGAGGCCAACAAAAGTTTTGGGGTGCTCACCTCCAAGGTATCTGGAACCAGATCCAGGAAAGAGAGAAAATGTATTCTTACAGCAACTTATAGCAGTGGTTCTCAACTTGTGGGTCCTGACCCCTTTGGGGGTTTGAACGACCCTTTCACAGGGGTTGCCCAATTCCTAATAGTAGCAAAATTACAGTTATGAAGTAGCAACGAAAATAATTTATGGTTGGGGTGAGGTCACCACAACACGAGGAACTGTATTAAAGGGTCGCAGCGTTAGGGAGGTTGAGAACCACTGATTTATAGTCAGGTATGCAAGTCCCCCTAATTACAAGTTAACAACAGAGTAATAAAGTGGGCTGTACCCTAACCTAGATATCCCTGAGTTCATTGAAGAAATAACACCAGTAAGGGGCAGTGTCTGTCCCCTGAGCAAGGAGAACAGCAACATGTCTGCTCCTATAGCTAAAGCTGTGGGCCAAATAGCAATTAGCCATGTGCTTGAAAGAGATAACTTTAAGGTAGCACTATTATGGGAGGATATTGTGGGGACTGATCGTCATTATGAGAATTTGATTGGGACTCATCTCTAACTCACAAGTGTGAAGGCCTCTGTTACGGTTTATGGTGCCAACATGGCCAATGAACACATGTGGGATTAATTGAAGGTCAGAGATAAACAATAGCTCGGTGAGCCTCACCTTTCTTGCCTCTTGTGCTTTGGTGATCGGATCAGTGTGCAGCTGCCTTGCTTGTTCTGTGCCTCCATTTGCAAGCTACACTACCTGTGGGACACTAACCCGTGGACTGTATCACTGTAATTTGAGGTTCCTTCAAGACCTGCTTCGCCACGCTACTGGAATGTACATCTCTTGAGCTGGGGACTGTCAGACCCTGTCATCTGGCTGACTTGGTGATCTGCCTTGCTGTTTACTGCGTGTGGCCAAATAGCCTGAATTGCTCTCCAGGGGACTACCAGGCCCTCAAGACTTGAAGGACTGCGAGTGTACTAGCTGTCTCATGGAAGTGAGTTGCACTGAGCCATTTGTACTGCATTATAGGCTAATTAACTGTTTATTTCTTATGTTATCTATATAAATATATATAAAATTATTGGTGTCCTGGTTTTGTTTCTCTAGAGAACCCTGTCTAACATATCCTCCCTCCACCCAGAACCCTGGCCTCCCAGGCTTCTTAAATATGAAAATAAAGAATTTGTCCGCACGCTCTTCCTGTTCGTTTCCCACACCACATGTATACTGTATACTGTTGAAAATTGTATTTGTAATGAATATGTCCTTAGTGTTGCAAATTTTTATTTGACTCTTCTCTCACCAAAGTCATATTTTTCAGATACCAGCTTCAATTCCAACTTTACATACCAATCACCAAGAATTTTCAATGCACTTTGATTGCATGTTTGATAAATTTCAAATTGTATATGTTGGTAAAAATCTTCAATTTCCTCACCTTGGGTATTAGTGTATGATTACATGTATTAATAGTCATATTAATTGGTCTTCCTGACAGCAGTATACTTCAGGATAAATCTTGACTTTTTTTCTTTTTTTAAATCATTTTATTGGGGGCTCATAGAGCTGTTTTCAAAATACATACATACATACATACATTGTGTCAAGCACATTTGTACAGTTGTTGCCATCATCATTTTCAAAACATTTCCTTTCTACTTGAGCCCTTGGTACCAGCTCATTTTTTCCCCCTCCTTCCTTCACCCTTGATAAAAAAAATTTTTTTCATGTCTTACACTGACTGATGTCTCCCTTCACCCACTTTTCTGTTGTCCTTTCCCCAGGGAGGGGGTTATATGTAGATCATTGTGATTAGTTTCCCCTTTCTCCCCCAATCTTCCCCTTCCCCTCCTGGTATTGCTGCTCTCATTATTGGTCCTGAGTAGTTTATCTGTCCTGGATTCCCTGTGTTTCCAGCTCTTATCTGTATCCATGTACATGCTCTGCTCTAGCCAGGTTTGTAAGGTAGAATTAGGATCATGATAGTTGGGGGGAGGAAGCATTAAATAACCAGAGGAAAGTTGTTTCATTGGTGCTATAATGCACCCTGACTGGCTCCTCTCTTCCTTGTTACTCTTCTGTAAGGGGGTGTCCAATTGTCTACAGATGGGCTTTGTATCTCCACTCCGCACTCCCCTTCATTCACATTGATATGATTTTTTGTTCTAGGTCTTTGATGCCTGATCCCATCGACTCCTCATGATCACACAGACTGGTGTGCTTCTTCCATGTGGACTTTGTTGCTTCTCAGCTAGACAGACGCTTGTTTGTCTTCAAACCTTTAAGACCCCAGACACTATATCTTTTGATAGCTGGGCACTATCAGTTTTCTTCACCACATTTGCTATGCACCCATTTTGTCTTCAGCGATCATGTCAGGAATGTGAGCATCATGGAATGCCAGGTTATTAGAACAAAGTGTTCTTGCATTGAGGGAGTACTTAAGTAGAGGCCCAATGTCCATCTGCTACCTTGATACTTAACACATAAATATATGTACACAGGTCTATTTCCCTATTGCTACATATATATTTACATATGTACATGCCTGTATTTAGACCTCTATAAATGTCCTTTGCCTCCTAGTTCTTTCCTCTATTTCCTTTTGCTTTCTTCTTGTCCCACTATCAGGTTCAGTCTTCATTCGGGTTTCAGTAATTCATTGCCCTTGATCAAGGTCTACCCTCCTCGCCATCGATTTTGATCTCTTGTTGTTCCCTTGTCCCTAGATTGGTTAAACCCCACTTCCTTTTCCCCCACCTGCCCTCTCCCATGTTGCCACCGCACCCCACCCCAGAATCGTCAGTCCCGTTGTTTTCTCCTCCAGATTTACAGCAGTGGTTCTCAACCATCCTAATGCCATAACCCTTTAGTACAGTTCCTCATGTTATGGTGACTCCCAACCATAAAATTATTTTCATTGCTACTTTGCAACTGTTAATTTGCTACGGTTATGAATTGGACAACCCCCGTGAAAGGGTCATTCGACCTCCAAAGGGGTCACAACCCACAGGTTGAGAACCACTGGTTTATAAGATGAATATTGAAATAGTCTTTTTGACACTGAATGTGACACCATTTCTCTTCAATTTGCCATCCCCAGCATAGGGAACCACTTGATTGTCTGATTCAAAATGGTTAATACCAGTCCTTTCCCGCTAATGCTTAGAATATCTATCTTCAAGCATTCGACTGCATTTTTTACAACTTCCTATTTGCTAGATTTCATGTTCACATATTCAGATGTCTGCAGCTGTTACTTCTCATTTTGGGTCCCGCCACATCAGCAAACGAATGTCCTGAAAGCTTTTTTCCTTGTCATTCACTAATGTCCACTCTATTCTGAGGAGGCAATTCTTCCTGGTCACATTTTGAGATCCTCCCTCTCTGTGGGGCTCATTTTTCCACAACTATATCGGCTGCTATTCATAAAATTTTCACTGGCCAATTTTTTTTTTTTTTAAGACACAGATCACCAGGTCCTTCTTCTTCCTAGGATGTCTTTGTCTGGAAACCCTGCTGAAACCTGTCCATCATAGGGTGACCCTATTGGTATTTGAAATACCAGGGGCACTGCTTCCAGCATCACAGCAACACATAAACGACCAAAGAAACCCAAACTCACTGCCACTAAGCGGATTCTGACTCATAGTGATCTACATAGTGTTTCTAAGACTATATTTATTGAAACCAGTAAACCTCATCTTTCTCCAGGGAGCTGCTGGTGGTTCTGAGCCACCCAGTCCTGAGGTCAGCTGCCAAACACCTAATCAAGAGCCCCAGCAGGGCACCTACATAAGCCACCACAGCACAAGAAAATTATTACTCATGATTCTATACCTCACAACCTCCCAATACTTTAATCACCCATTAAATCTCCTGTAAGACAAAGGTTTTATCTTAAACGATCTAGCATGGTGTTGGGTCCACATCACAAAATTGTTTTCTACAAGAATCATTTAGCCAAAAGCAAAACAACATCCACATCTTAAAACAAAATTCCCGTGAGGGAGAGGGGGGGTGTCTGGTTTATTAGTATAGCCTCAGCTCCTCAAACAAGGCCTGACATCAACAGTCACTGTCTTCCGTTTCCTAGTGTTGCTGTATTAGGAATACCATAAGCAAGTGGCTTTAAAGAACAGAAATTTAAAAAAAAAAAAAAAAAAGCCAGAAGTTCAAATTCACAGTGTAGCTCTAGAGGTGGGTCCTTCTTGGTCTATTTGAGTTTGTAGAAGCTGATAATCCCTGGAGTTTCTGGGCTCAGATTACCTGACTCCATCCGCATCAAAGAGCATGTCTTCCCTGTATCTGCTTCTGGTCTACCTGTTCTTTCTGTAACTGAGAAAGTCCGGAGTATCTGGAACCTGTGTTAGGCAGAAATCTGTCACTGGGAAAACTCAACAATGTTCCACTAAAAGTGAAAGAAAAGTGGTATAGCTGCACCCTGTCAAAGGTGGAAAACATGTAAGACCCTAAAATACCGGGCAGTACTCCTATACATATATTTTGGGAGCAATAATTTAATTCATAGCATTCACTAATTTCGTGTTTTTTTTTTAAGTTTTATTGGCATATAATTCACATATCAAACAATTCAGTAGCTCAAATCATATTAAGAGTTATACAATCACCACCACGGTCAATTTCAGAACATTTTCTTCTTTCTTGTAATTGCTTTCTAAAGGAATCTGTGTTTACTAATTATCTTAAAACCTGCAGATGTCCTTTTGCTTGACTTCACACCCTCATCCTGTGGTATGGATTGGCAGAGGGAAGTAGGGATGAGAAGCGAGGACAGGATTCTGAAGCGAGGGCACGTCTGTCTGTCCAATGGACGGATTGGAAATACCAGCAAAATTAAATAGGAGGGCTGAAATCAGCTCTGCAGCTAATCCTACCATATATAAATCATGGTTAGGTCACTCAGGCACATCTGTGGCCTGTAGAACACAGGTAGAGGAAGGGAAAGAATCAGAGGAAGGAGAGAAAATGGAAGTATCAATGATGACAACGGACTGGTCCTGGGACTTCGGATACCTGGAAGTGAACCAGTTAAGTTAGATCTCGAGAGCATCGCGGGGCGGAGGAACACAAATTAAGAACTGAGGTGAAACAGAGATTGTCACAGCAAAAAGGCATCAAGGACGTGTGGCACTCACCACCTCCCCCTGCTCCGCAGACTTGTACACTCCGGACACCATCTCATTATGGAGAAGCAAAAACAACGCCTCGTCCGCCATTTCCTGCTTATTCTTCAAAATTCTGGGCTTCTTCACCCGTTTGGGCCGGGCCAGGTTCCGGCTCTTGCCAGAGTCGCTGTGCCCCTGCCGCGGCTTCCTCCCGCGGCCCTGTTCCTCGTTGCTAGGAGACCAAATCACTCAGCTTTGTGAAGACTGGCAGTGGGGAGAGGCGAGTACCCCGACAAGCCTACCTCCGCGGACCCCGAGCCCGCCGGGGAACGAGAGCCGGACCGCGACGGGAACCCAAACCAAACTGCGGAGACCTGACCAGGCCCGGGGG